GCTACAGTTATTTAATGTCTAAATTCTGTTTATTTTGTATTATTACTGTTTGTAGCTAATGTAGTCTTATTAAGCTGTGAAGCCTAGAGCAGTATCATATCTTACTGTCTCTACATAATTGGGTTTATTTAAAATTTTCTGTTCAATAATTCCACCTACATACTGTGTATTATATCAGTGTCATAAATAAAGAATTTTGGCATGCCATGAAATACTGAATGTGCATTATAAAAGTACATTGTATATATATTTCAGTGTTTTATGGGCATAATGATATGAAACCAAATAGTTGTGTATACATTTCATTGCAGTGAGTATCTAAAAGCACTTAAATCACATTCATTCTAAGGCTAACCACAGCCTTAATACTTGAACTAAAAATACTTTAAAGGACCATTTTCTTCATGTGCTCAGATGTACTCTCATCTACCTCATGTGTCATTAATGCATACTATGCACTATGACAATGAAACTCCTGATGTTATTTCCCTACCAGGAAGTGAAGCACCAAACAATAGCTTGTTATTATTTATTTCCTTCCTTGGCTGTATGTGGACTACTGACCCAAAGACCATAACTACAGACCTTCCATGATCTATGTAATTGGAATTACTGTGAAGAAAAGAAGCAGGGGAAAAAGCAGTGATTACAAAAGACTTGTAGGATTACTTTTTTTTCTCAGATAGACTTGTTGCTGCAGAATAAATACATCTTCTCCTATATAAATGCCTCCTGCCTGATTTGGGATTTCCAGTCTATTTTCTAAACAGAAATACCCTGCCTCAAGAAGATTATCTTGCCAGACCTTCTCAGTGCATAAAGGCAAAGACTTCTTCCTTCAAATGTACACAGACACAGCGCACATTTCTGCTTTTCTGCCTGGCATCGTCATACCTATAGCTGAGCCAAGAGAATGATCATTGGCAGAGCTGGAGCCCTGCTCTTGGCTGCTGACAGTAAGCAAGGGTTGAGGGTTTGCTACTCTTCAGTTCTTCTGAAGTGGTTGACTGTTGATCACCTTTTCTACTACATACCATTATCTCTCTGTGTCATCTATTATGCCATCCCTGAACCCCTATGTAATCCACAGGGACTGGTGCCTTCCCACTTCCCCTTTCATACCATCTCAGTTGCTACTCTTACGGAAGGGACACTGTCCCACTTTGTTCCACATACTTAAAACCAAGTGCCAGATCTCTCCTTTGTCCGGTAACACTCTGAAAGAGCTTCAGTTTGCGGCTGCAAAATTGGGGTGGCCAGCACAGTTCCCACCATGCTGGAAGATGCTTAAATCTCTGTGTGGCAACCCAAGAAAAACCTTCCCCTGTGACAGCAGTAAAGCAATTCAGCTAGCTAATAGGTTGTCAGATGCAGTGTGCAGATTTATTTGAAGAAATGGGCCTTACCAGAGATCTTTCTGTGTGTATGTGTGTATGTATATGTGTGTACATATCTCTATGCCCCCTCTCTGGCTCTAATTTATCTTTATATTTTTGCACAGATGTGGATGTGTGGTGAACAGAAGAGACCTGAAGGAACAGAGCTTATGAGAAAATATGCCCTAGTCTCTTACAGTTTTGTTCTGTTGGATATGGGAAAAGTAGCTAAGCCCCAGCTCGCAGGATGAAATGTGATAGCAGGCCACCAGGACAATGTGATGAAGAAGCCTTTGCACTGCCATTCCAGAAGGCATCTATGATCACAGAGAAATGTCAATTTTTAGTTAGGTGTGAAGAGAGTATAAAGGTCCCACACAGGCTGGAGGATCTGAGAAATGGCAAAAAAATTGCAAGTAAGTGCTCGCAACTAGAATATAAGGATGGAGCTCTTACTATACACAGTGAGACAACTGACTGGCATTTTCCAGCAATTGTCCAGAAGAAGTGAAGTGCCAAAATGAGGTTCAGACTTTTATGCAAAATTAAGGGCTTTTCCTGTGGACAGTAGGAAAGTTGGAACTTGTTATCTACAACCTATAGTGTGAAATGTTATCTACATTGTCTATTGAAAATGTTGTGATATCAATTATGCAGCTGGATATAAAAGCATATATAAGAGATATGTGTAGATTGAACCTGTGATTATAAACACTGAAGATGGCAAGGGAGGGTACATGGAGAAAAACTGCTTATGTAATTTTGAGTTAATGGGAATAGGTGCTCCTGAGGAATGTGTGAATGTGTGAACAATGTTTGTGGGTGGAAAAAAATGGAAGGAAAAGAAAGCAGGTGAGAAATGAAGGTGTGTGAAATACATGAGAATTTGCATGTGTATCGTGTATATAGGGAGAAGATATAAGTGAAACAAGGGACTAAATTTATATTGATATACCTTTATATGAAATATGATATATTGACATTTGTGCAGATTGATTAAAATGTGCACTACAAGCATTGAATTTCCTAAGGCAGACTTCTGTCTCTTCTAAATTGAAGTCTTCCATGTTATTACCTATTCCGTTCCATGCAGGTCATTTTTGCTTGGCAGAGGGGTTCCTTTCTGTAACCCAAAATGGAGATACACTGCGTTGTACCAAGTTCTCCATCTCACTCTTTACCTTCTTGAAGCATGACAGACATTGAAGAGGCAGAAAAATAAAAGGGAGGGAGCAGCGACACAGACTTTAGAGGATTTCACATTCAGGTAAAGGATGGCACAAAATGCTTTGCAAATTAGTGTGCTGGCATGAAAACTACAGAACTTTCATGTTCTTCTCCTCTTGCCTTTTCATGTTACTCAGAAATAATCCTTGGCTGCTGAATGCTTTGTTCATTTCCTCCTAAGGAACAGGCAGAGGGATGAGGTAACTAACATCTGAAGAAGGGTACCATTCTAGCCTGAAAAATAATTGAGAGTTCCTGCCCGGCATCTTGGCATGAGCTGCAGATGGAGTTTCTATTCTCGTGAGGCAACTTCTAGCCCTACCATTCCCTACTGGTTACTATAGGCAGCTCTGTGCACGTTTGGCTGGACTTTTGGAATCAAGGTTTTCAACACCTTTATTAACCAGTGTTTTAAACTCCTAACTGAAGAAAATAATTTTTCTAGATACAGTCAGACTAAAAGTTAAATCTGAAGTTTAGGACAATTTTAGAAGTGAGGGGTTTAGGATGTTTTCCCATATTTAGCCTGCAAACTCTGCCCAGGCAGAATCTAGGGTTTTTTTGTTTGGGTTTTTTTTTTTTCACGTTTGTTCAAGATTCAGGGAAATGTAACCTGTCCACTGCAGAAACAGGCACTTGAACATCTTCAACCTATCTTTTACATAGTAGCATATGCATCCTCAACTGCCATTTATAATAAGTCCAGGAAATCCAGGCCACACTGGACATACAGCTTGTATTTTATATGGAACATGTGCGTTATAATTCTGCCTGAGAAACCACAGCCCAGCAAAGTCCTTTTCTGGCTCTAACCTGGAGCAATTTGCCAAAGTTGGGACAACAATTTAGTTGAAGGGCTATGAGCTGAACAAAACATTCCACACTCAATCCCACCATTTCCCCGCTTGCCCACTGCTGTTTTGAGCTCTCCATCCCCATTTGAAATCTTTTTGCTGCTTCCATGGTGAGTCCTACAGTTTCTGTAACCTCCATCTACAGATTCTTCACTGAAGCATGACCCTCTCTTGGGACTCTGGGGACCGATGAGGAAAAACCAGCCCATGTTAGAGGGCAGTGCTGCATGTATCCTCAGCAGGGCTAATTAGTTTTGGTGGATTATTATAGCAACTTGGCTCTACTACTTCCAAGTATTATAAGCTAGTCCAGTGTCTTGGCATGGTGCTGTACTGGGCAGACCTTGTGCTAAGGTAACTGCTGCAAGGACATTAAAAGAAATGAAGGTGTTTGGGTTTTTTTTTTCAACAAGAAAATCCAGTGACCTGAGACGTTGTTAATACAGACCTGGGCCATCTGAGGATGCCTGTCTTTGCTAAATAAAACCTCTGAAAGCCTGTGAGACATAAAATAATAGGAACTGCAACCTGGACACCTATGAGACAACCTAGTGTGTGCCAAAGCAAACTCTCTGTTGAGATGAGCTGATCTAAACATAAGCTGTCGTGATCCTGAAGACCAGATCTAAAACCTCACATTTGACAAATTTTACACCTTTACTGTACTCCTAATCTACTTCACCATTGCCCTCAGTTTTATACACTGTGTTCCTTTTTCATCACTAAACCCACATACTACTATCACACCTCATTACTCACTATAGAGTTGGTAGGAAGATTCCAGTCTACTATAATTGAAATAACTTATGAAACATAGGTACACCGTCCTATTATCTACCCTGCTTCTCCCATGCACTGCTCTATTCTTTGATAACTAGTGGTTTAGGGGTGGAAAGGAGAGGGGGAGAGAGAAAGGCCTAAGAAGCCAGGAGCAGAAGTCTTCTAATTTCCCGCATTTATAACCACACTGCAGCAATTAATGATCATAGAGCTGTAATTTAAAATGTTGAATGCAAGTGGAACATAACTGAAATGGCAGGATAATCCCTGGCAGGGTATTGCCAATTTCAGGGGGCTGAGTTAAGGTTGAGAATATATTGTTAAATCCTTTCCTAGTTTTCAGAAGTTTAGCCAGCATTACCTTAACTCTTTATTTCCTGATTTTAAGGAGGTTTAGCTGAAGTCAGTGTCCTGGGAAGGCACAGAGTACCACAGGCCAACTTTAGTGCTGTTCTAATCAAGTTTTGGGGAATTTAATTGTAGATGGTAGTTGGAACTCTGCTTTGGGGTCTCCAGCAGGCTCAGGTCAAACCAGACACTGCCGCTTTCTGCTCTGCAGGATAAGGTTGTGTGTGATTTTCCAGCATCCATTACCCAAGCATTGATACACCATGATTTCTGTGACTCATGGTATCCAACACTTCTCCTCCATCATCATTAATGGCTCTCCAGCAGACCCCTTTTCCTCCCCACATCCCTGTACACGTCCAGATTGCTCAGCACTCCCGAGGCTTTTCGGGTGGGCACTTTGGGATGCCTGACCCAAAGAGGCCTGGGCATGACTCCCTTTTCCAGTCCCCAGCGGGCCGTGGCAAGAGCACAGGCCTCGGGTCGGGACAGGACGGACCCCGGCGGGGCCCCGGCTGCCTTCCCCCTGCCCGCGCCCAGGGCGGAGGACTGCCGCTCTCTCTCCGTAGCTGACGTGTCTGGGTTTGGGCCCGGCTTCCGCGACGCGGGGTGCGGCCGCCTCGCCGGGCCCCGCCGCTTCCCTCCTGCCCCGCGGGCCAGTCTAAGCCAGGCCGGGAGGGTCCTCCCTCCCCGGCCCCTTTCCTCGCTCCGGCCCAGCCCGGCCTTCCGCGGCGTGGGAACAGCCGGGCGGGGCGGAGGGGGGGGCCGGGCCCTGGCGAAGGGAGGGAGGGAAGACCGCCGTGGCCGGCGCCGGGCGGGAGCGGGGGGAGGCGACGGCGGGGCGGGGGCGCTCGGGCCGGCGGGCCGAGCTCGTGGGCTGGGAGCCGCGGCAGCGCGGGGCAGGTCTCGGGCGGGGTTAGGGAGCGCAGCGGGGCTGGTCCCGGCGCGGAGCGCGGCTGGAGTGAGGGAGGATGAGCCCGGTGCGGAGCAGCCGGAGCCGCCCGAGTCCCGCTCCCTGCGGGGCTGTCTGCTAGTGCTGGAGGAGGAAGAGGAGGAGGAGGAGGCGGCGGGCGGCCGTGGCCCGGGCGGGACGGGAGCTGCCCCGGCGGCGGCGGGCGGAGAACGGCTTTCGGCCGGAGCTGGGTGGCGGCGGTGGCGGCCCGGCGGCGGAGCGGCCATGCCGTGGTTGAGCGGCGGGCGGCGGCGGAGGCAGCAGCAGCAAGTGGCGGCGGGACAGGGCGGCGGACCGCCGGCGGGCGGGCAGCGGGGCCGGGAAAGCTCGGAGCTACCGCTGCCCGCTGGCTGGGAGGAGGCGAGGGACTTCGACGGGCGAGTCTTTTACATTGACCATAACACCCGGCAGACCTCGTGGATCGACCCCCGCGACAGGTAAGGGGCGGGAGCCGCCGGTGGACCAGGGAGATCGCAGGGGAAGGAGGGCCCGAGTCCGGTTCATGCCGCCGGGCGCTGGCTCCGCTGCCGGAGAAGGCGCGAGGACAGGCCTTTCCGAGGCCTCCCCGTCCCTTTTTCTGCGCGCCCTCTCCCCTTGTGCGGCGGGGCCGGGCCCATCGGCGACATTTTCCTTCCCCCGTCCGTGGCCGCAAGGGAGGGTGTGGGCAGCGGGGCCCTCCGCCTCACCTCTCCACGTCCGGAGCGGGAAGCCGGGCCGGGATGGAGGGGAGGGAGAGGTACGGGACCCTATCACATCGGCCGTCTTCGGTTGGTGCGTGTGGAGACCTGAGGTGCAGAACCCCTGCCCCAGTGGCGGTCGGGTTTGCCGGTAGCGTTAATGTTAGAGCACAGCAGGAAAATAAGGGAATTACGGCACTTTTTGCCCATGGTGGGAGCTCAGACCAAGCTCTGTCTCTCTGCGGGGGGGGAGACAGGGAGGCTGGACCATACTGCTTCTGTTTATAGTCCTCAAATATTACACTAGCTCCACTGTAATCCAGTGTCTTGGGCATCCTGATTTATTAGCCGTGCTGAACTAATTGGCAGCAGCAGGCTGGAGGCATGCTGAAGTAATTTGGTAGATTACCTCCTCATAAAAGATAACGCTGCGTGGAGGTAAGCAAGCCGGTAAATTCCTGCAGTTAATTTGACAAATACGTGGTCTGTTGCGAATTAGCCGTCTGCTGTGCTGTTTTGGGATAGCATTTTCACATTTCTCAGGCCTGGCGGTGTGTGCTGAGCTGGAATTAGGCCTTTTCATTTTGATTAGTGCGAATAAATTTGGGCAGGTTTCATGTTTTTCAGTAGAATTGAGTTATAACCAATATTCAAGCGTCCTAGCTTAAAAGTGATGGGAGCATGGGCTGCTGCCCGGTAAATACAACCTCTCTTGGAAGCATTCGCATAAAAATTTCCACGCGGGGTTAGTGAACACAACTGTCGGTATTCTAGGTGTCTGCGAAATAAGAAACATATGTCTCTGTGTATGCTTTTCTATATTAAACAATGTTTTTATAGTAAGTGAAAGTTGGACAAGGACAGTTTGAACCTCAGCCAGAGCTACCTTGCCAGAAGTATGCTTGGAATGTTAAGAAGGCCACAGAAGCATTTGAGCACAGTCTGGGTTAAAGACTAGTCATTTGAGAGATTCCTGTCATCTTGCACAATGATACATAACTGTTAAATGGTCAAAATATTTACCTACCAGATCAAGATTCTTTGTCACATTATTTAGACATACTTATGTATGCACATATTCTTTTGCTGATGCATTAAATATTTGTTGTGTTTTAGATAGCACATTTTTCTACATTAAAATGCATGGCAGTGTTGTTTACTTGTAATGTGCTCTTCTAAAGGTAACCAATGACATAACAACCTCTCTGTGGCTTCTTCACATGTCATCCTTTCCATTGAATTTCAGAGGTTATGTGGTTTTGTCTTCTGGAATATCTTGTATACAGACAATAATGAAGAAGACAGCCATTTACTACAGTGTTTAAAGCTCGTTTCCATTCAACTTCAATAGTACTAATAAAATTATGACTTCATGCTTTGAAGAAATAATTGACACGCCCCACAACGCTTAAAAGTTTGCTTAAATATTTCACACCAATGTTTAAACTCAGTTTTATTTTTCATATCGGGTAAGAACAGGCTGTAGAGCAGAGACTGAGATGTTTACATTGAGGCAGATAGAAAATAGTGTTTTCATGAGAACTATCAGTAGTTTCTGCAGAATTCAAGTAGCAGGAGCCAGTTATATGATTGCAGAGTTAATCTTGGGTTGAGAACAGGCTGGTGGTGTTACTTCAGTGAGATAGAACCATAGAATGGTTAGGGTTGAAAGGGACCCAACCTACCTGCTATACCACTAGACCAGGTTGGTCAAATACCTGTCCAGCCTGGCCTTGAAAAAGGTCAAGGATACCTGTGTTCTTCTGCATAGTAGAAAGTGACCAGCCTTTTTGGCTTTCATTCAAACTATTTGCATTCCCATGGGCAGCAGCAAAGTAGGAAAGGATCAGGTTAGTTGTGTTCTAACGAAGTTTGGGAAAGGAAGGTTAGAGCAGCAGGAAATGATACTGAAGATTTTCTCCTCCCCTCCAAAAAAAAAAAAGAAGTTGAAAAAGTGGAGGGCATAATAATCTACTTATATGATAGGTAGCTCAGCATTTTGAGTTTGGTGTAGGGTGACAGAGATCATCCCCCCCGTTTGTGTGGTCTTGTTTCTATCCAGAGGAATTGGACAAAACTGTGGGACCTTAGGCCATGCTGCACCTCATCAAGGCTCTGAGAATCAGTACCTCAAAGCTTTCCTATGGGCAGTAGTCTCATCGGCATCCTCACAGGCTCATCTTTCCCTGTGGCTGGCACTTAGTAGTTTGTTTTTCTTTTCAGCATTCCCCCTTGAGAATTATCAGCCTTTTGTATAGTTTGGTTAGTGAGTTTAATTTGAAGCAGTTATTTGATTAAAAAACAAAACAAAAATCTCCCGCTGCCCCCTCCCCCCCCCCGCGTTTTTCCAGTTAAGCCAAGAAGAGAAGGAAATACTAATTTGAGAAGTTGAGAAAGGAGAAATCTGCTCTGTAAAAGATTTTGGAGTTTGTGAAAGAGAAGGTAATGAGGGCAAGGAAGGTAAGTAAAAATAATACAGAGTGAGAGGGGCTGAAGGACTCAGAAGTACATCTTTTATGAATTTTGGCATAAAAAAGTGGAATAAATGAAGAAAAAAAGAGGGAGAATAGCAGATGTGTGATAAAATTGGCAGATTTGAGAAGCATCTTTGGTATCAAATCAGTGGTTAGGTTGGGGAAGATACTGTGTTGATTGTGGATTGTGTGTAATGAATAGATTGCTGACGATTGTCTAGCAGATCCTGTAACTCTCAAAATGAAGCCGTTCACTGCACGTTTTCATCTCTTAGAAGTTGTCTTCTATCTTAATAGATTGTAAGATCTTAAGGCAGCAAACAGTTTTTTATCTTGTGTTTGCAGAATACTTGCTATATTGAGATTCTGGTCAATAACTGGGTGTTGTAAATGGTCTTATAGAAGTCTGATGATGTTTGAGGTTGATATTGATGATCCTTGTGGCACCAAGGATTTTATTACTGTGGCTGTTTGTTACAAGACTGTGTTTTCAGGTGATTAGAGCCCAGCCAAAAATGTTGGTATTTGGCAAAAGCTTTCTAAACTGGTGAGTCTTGTTAGATTTGTTGTATGTGGAAGCTTCAGCTAAAATATAGTGTTGGGTTTTTGGAACAACTCTAGGGGAGAGGGAGTGTTTCCTTCAGCTTCCTAATGTGGGTTGCCTTGTTTGAAAGTTTGAATCATCTTGCTTTGAAATGAAGATTTTAAACTTATGAAGTGTAGGAGTGTTTCTGCATGGAGAAATCACCCATTTGGGCCACTTTTGGAGGATATGAAAAATTGGTATGAGCTAGGTAAAGATTTAAATTTTATCATCTGCTTGTACAGGAACTTCCTGCAAACTGGGCTGCTGGTATGTTAATTGTAATCTGAGAGGTTTTCTGTCCTGTGTCCTCATCAGCATCTTAATTCCAAGACCTAAAAGGTGCTTAATTTGTGCACAGGAAAAAAACTCTGGCCTTGTAGAAGAGGTGGGTTGGAACAAGCAGAATGGGAACAGGCGGGGTTGGTTTTGGAGTTGGATGGAGCATAAGGGGCTGTGTGGAAATCTTTGTTAGGTTATGGAAAACAAAGCAGTCAGGAGTTGGGGGTAGGGAGAAGGAGGATTGTACCTAAAGCCTGGGAAGAAAAAAGTAGGGGAACTGGACTGAAAACCAGTAGGGCAGGGAAAAACAGGTAAGAAGAAACTGGTCTGGTGAGGGTTCAGGGTGTGAGGGTGTCAGCTCTTTTCCTGGCTGTACATGGAACCCTGAGGGAAAAGAAGGAGCACTGAGTTTGGATGAGGAATCTTCAGAGTTGGAAAATATGCATGTAGGGCAGCGTATAAAGTCTAGGTGAAGAAGGGAAGATGAGTGGAAGGTGAAATACAAGAACTACATGTGAAATGTAAGGATGGGGGTCAGGAAGTGTAAGATGTGTTGGATTGATGAAAAAAGTTGATGAAATTGATGAAGATTGATGAAAAAGAAATCAGAATTGTAGAAAATGAAAATAAGCGGGAAAGGCTAATGGGCTTGAAACAAAGAGTCAGCTTGGGAAAGTCATGAGGCAGGTATCTGTTATTAGGGTGCAGAATAGAAATGGTCAAGGGAGTAATGGCCAGAAAGGTCCAAAAGTGCTGTCTGCTTCCTGCTGAACAATTTCAGGACTCCTTACTCTCATCATTTATTTGTGTTTGGCAAATGCCTCTATTACCCAGTTTGCCTCTTCTCTTTGTCGGTTAGGACAAAGGCTATTACTACTGTTTCCTCTTGTTATGGCAAGGGGCAAAGCGAAGTGTTCAAACCCAAGTGCTGGTGTGTGTAATGCTGCACAATGTGATTTCTGTTTTCTGAGTTTGGTTTTATAAAGGAATAGAAGGTGGCAAGTAAGAAGCTTAAATTGAGAGAATATTCATGTCAGATATTCAAAGCTAGAAAATTCCATACTTAATTGATTAACTACTTTTTTAGTCACAAACTACTTTTTCATGTATTTTCTTGCCTTGTTTGATATGTGAAGAGGAGCAACTCTGAGGCCAGATCAGAGGACTATGAAGTGGTAAGAATCAGTTCTAATTTTTTTTTTGTCCAAATTGGAATATGTGCCTCTCTAGTGAGGCAAGGGGTCTTTTGGCACACCAGTGCATGATATGGTTAGAAATGCAGTGACCACTTTATCCATGCAAGAAAATTATCTCCTTAACATATAGGAATGTATCTGTCCAGTTGACATTACTCAGCAACCCAGAGACAATCAGAAGATTTTTTGCAAGCAGCATTTTTCTGGACCTGGCTTAAACCTCTT